GGGGGGGGGGGGGGGGGGGGGGGGCGACGACGAAAGGGTGAAAGGAAGAGAAAGGGAGGGAGGGATGCTGTGAGAGAAAAGTCTGGACCACGTGCTGAAATAACGTTCATGTTTCTGATTTGAGGCACGTAACGGAACCACATTGAAATCAGATAGGGGCGCGGAACGCTAAACTGGCTGGAGGCTGAGGCCAACGAGAATCACGAAGCTGAAGCTCTAAGCGCGAAGGAGGAGAGATGCTGGGGAGACGAAGGGAAGCGCGTGGGTCTAGAAAAGGGACACTTATTCGGAGAGCGTGATACTTTTGAGGATTTTCGAATAAATCGGGACGGCATTGGACGTGGCTTCGCTACGCGATTTCATCCCTATTACTACCAAGGATCGCTAGGTAATCCAGGAACGTCCGGCGCCATCGCCCCTTTAATGCCACAGAAATGGAATTTGTCATACATTGTTTTAACGGCCGGTATGAGATTATATGTGTCAACCCGGTATGCTAAATCGCGGTACGATGAAAATTAGTCAGTCGGACCTAATCTCACTGCAAATCGCCCTGTGCTCAACAAAAATATAATCAGGCTCCTAAGCCGGATGATCCAGAAGTGATCTTCATTTACATTCCCTTCCGTGAGGGAAATACATGAGTGAGGGGACGATCTTGGGATACGGTGTATACGGAGTGGTCATGTCCACAGGTTGTTTTCAGACTATCGAAATTGTTGTGGCTTAGGAAAGAAGGAAAGTCAAGAAGAATTTTTCGAAAATCACTGTCACGCGTGAAACGTTGAAAAGTCTGCTATGTAATTGGAGTGCAGGATTCTTGGGTCAGCGAGTAGCTAACAGAGAAATACGGTGTAATATTTTATGACGATTTTAGTAAATTAATCAGCTGAAATAATATCGCGCACAGCATATATTACAAGCATAACAAAGCTACTTGCAACCTCACTGTATTATCTTACTTGTAGTATATGCTTTAAATCTTAACTCTTGCTTTTATAATTCTCGAGACATTTTCCTTTTCGCGGTTATCTTTTTCCCGTCGTTTTCACCCTCGCAATCGTTTTCACCTACCCTCCCCGCCCTTCAACCCCCTCAGCCATCCTCATTCCCACCTCCCCGCCTGCATGCCTCCTGCTTCTCCAGACTGGGCTGCTGCGAGTTCCGCCATATTTCAAACGTCATATTAGCAAAGACCATGCATCTTCCACGGGTAAAATGTCTATGCTGCCAACAGGCTTTACCGCCACTACATCACATGACATGGGTCCCTCTCGGCTCGCTGGTATCATGTCACCTTCTCGGCTCGCCACCAATTACAAATTAATATGATGTGGAGTTATCTCGAACCCTTCGGGAATATACCCTCTTCTAGTATACGGTCAATTAACCTGCTTCCTATATGGACCATTCAGACGGGTATCGCTCAGTGTAAAATAAGATACGTTACGTTCGTTTCGCCTATCACGATAAATCAGGAACAGAACGTTTCTACAAGATATTTTTTCTTCCACTTCCTTTTACATATACATATATTCCAATTCCACTTATCCTTATTTATTTTTCATTCCAATAGTAAAAATCCATTATCGAAAATTATTTGTCAAAGCGATGCGAATGAAATCCGAAAATCTTTAATTAATTTATATACGATGAGAGCCAGTGAGAAATGCCGAAATTTTTGGTTCGATTAATCAAACATTTCATCAGCCCCTCGTATCTATCTCTAAGATGTAGGATGCCTTACGAAAGATACTTGGGAGCTTCGCGATTTCTCTTAAGAAGAAAACGTGCTGCCGATATCACGCGGTTACGTTCATTACGTCAGGACATTAATATTATTAAGAGCTATCGCGTCAAACTAGTCGCTATCGGAGTTCCTTCCCGTAAATATTGTAACATCTGGCACGACTCATACGTGTTCGAGTCACGCTTCTAGCCCTCTACATTTCATTTCACTTCTTAGATACTTTCCTGAAATACTGTCGGGATCCACCGGTTCTCTCAGTCGGCGGAATAAGGGGCTGAGTAAAGTCTCGTCTATACTATACTGCGTTTCCTATGTGCTACACCCGATTCGTACTATGTCTTCCGCAAGCCCCTGCCCCTCTTGCCTTGTCCCCCCGACAGCCACAAGCCTCGTACGAAGACCAGGTCCAGCGCAAACGACAGCTTATTACGTCCCTGTTAAATAATACATTGCGCCAGGGCCGTGTCCACTTGTCATATGTCAATACTAAATTTTACATTCGCCGCGAAAATTAAATCGTACTGAAAATATCATGATTTCTTGAAGGCCTTTACGAAGGTTTATATTTATTGGTAAAATTATCGCAAAAATAGAGCATATATGGAAATCGCCGAAAATTCGATGGAAATATTTTTTTATTAATTTAGTTCAATTCCATTTTAATGGTCGATATTGATAATATCGATAGATTCAGGTATACGAGTAGCGAATAGACGTTTAATTCAGAAATGACAATCATAATGTACGCTTATGATTATAATGCGATGTTGTGTGGTGTATCGATTGGACACCATACGTCTGTTCTATCAATAATAAAAGATATCGAGAGTAAATTTCAATTCCGTTTGAATGTTGTTGATGCATTTAGGTAATATATTAATGGCATGCTTTTTCGAGTATGCGTTAGATATTTCACCCGTTAGATATTTTTTCTTCAGAAATACCTCACATGTGCACAGGAGCTATTTTGCCTGAGTCACCTGTGTGCATTTTCGAAAATACATGTGGGCCAGGAATAATTGATGAACTTATATGCACAGTCCATCGCGTGATTCGAATTTTTTTCTTTTTATTTATAAATCTACGCGAGGTATTTCCATTCCATGTATACCCTCCGATATGTCATAGGTAGACGTGCACTCGTCAAATGTAATTTTTGTGCATGTGCAGTTGCATATGAATGTTTGATACCCCTTGCGGCTCTTGTTTACAATCGCCAAGTTTAATCAATCGCTGCAACGTTGCGTTTCAATAAAAATACAGGAGGACGACCAATATGTTATCTTCACTTGATACTTTCAATGTTTTGGTATCATATTTTTTTTTCACTCCACCTGTCGACCAGCCGACGAAAATGTTAATTAATTTACTTCCTGTTGCATTGCTAAATCAACTGAATAATATACGTTTTGTAAATCGTGGATCACATATAAAATATAAAAATCAAATTTAAAGTAAATAAAAATATAAAGCGAACAATTCATTAAGAATCACCATCTAATCAAGAGCAACTTAATAAAATCTAAATGGAAATAACCCAATTTTTCTTTGATGTCTCAGAGAACTATTATATCAAACGGGCAATAACAAAGTCCTTTTCAATGAGAGGATACCGATCAAAGATATCGATTGAGATATATATGTAAAAAATCAATTGAAATATTCTTCTAAAAGATTACAATGCAAAATTTCTATTATCAATATCGACATTATAATTAATGGACATTTACTTTTTTATTAACTGAAAGTGGCTTACACTTTTTTTGTCTTTTCTCATAATTTCGACCATATCACGAATTTCGTTATCACCTGAATTGTCTAATCTTAAATCCGGTGGCTGGCTCGAAGGTGCCGTAAACAACCAGACGATGTAGTTCTATAGTTCGGTTAAGGTTCGTGAAAGGAAGCAGGATGATGCACCGTAGATGCTG